ACAGAGCGAGTGGTGACCTGGCACAGCCAACCACCTACTTGACCCTTCCCTGTGCTAAAGAATAGCCGAAGGACATGAGCGTTACATTGTGCACGGAAGCATTGACTTTAGGAGGGGCAGCAAGCTGATGAAACATTCCCCAAAGCTCCTTTGCTAAATGTAATGACACCGACCAAAGACTGAAACAGGTCTCGAGCTTCGTGTCCTTACCCGTCAGGGAGACCATGAAGCCCTCCAGCTCACACATCTGTTTGCCGAACACGAAGAAGCCGTTGATGTTGTTGGAGAAGCTGACGGAGCTGCCGCAGAGCGTCACCAGCAGGTCGGCCACGGCCAGGTTCACCAGGATGTAGTTCAGGGGCGACTGGAGCTTCTTGTACCTGATGGAAACCACAATGACCAAACCGTTCACAACCGAGGCGGAGACCACCACGATGCCCATCAGCACGGCCACCGACAGGTACATGCCCCGCGGGGCCTGGTGGGGCCACTGGGGGCCATCAAAAGGCCCCGGAGTCCCGTTATTTGGGGGCTCCTGCGAGCTGTTGGAGGAGTACATTGGTCCTCCAGAGCACCAGCGCCGGTGGAGCCGATGCAGGTGACCGTCCCCAAAAGCAAAGCCTCTTTATAAAGCAGGAGGACCTGACGCACCCCAGAGGAGCTTTGCATTAAAATACCTTAAGCTTTTTTTTTAATCTGAAGACTTTGTCCCCCCACCCTCCCGTTTTATAATCAGCTCTTTATTCCAGAGGGGATAAAGAATGACTTAAAAAAAAAAAAAAATCTGATGACTGAACAGTGCATCATTTAATTAAGTAAATAGTTGAGTTGTTTTTTTCTTGTGCTTCCCAGCTGCCTTCCCCCGTAAGCGTGACCCCTGCCCGGGGCTGGCCAGTTATTCCCCTGCTGGGGCTTCTCTGGGCTGCGGGTGCTCCCGTCCCATCGACCACACTGGGCTACCGGGGCGGCCACATTGGCCACTGCCAGAAACCACAGGCTGGGCCTCGTCCCATTCAGCTGCACTGGCTATTAATCTGCTTAATAAACACATATTGAATATATTAATGTTATTAATACAGGCGTCAATATACTTTAGTAATAAATATAACAAACTATATAATAAATATAATATTATATAGAAGAATTAATGTGTGTATATATACATGAATGTATGTACGCTGAGAGAGCATGCAAGAAAAGTGTGAGAGAGCGTGCTACCTATAGAAATATTCTCTACGCACATAGATATTAAGTATATAAAATATTTATATGCATATTAACAATTATATAAAAATATAAGATAGTGCATTTATGTACTTATACATGCGTATGTCTGTATCTATTGGTAAAGCTCTCTATGTTTAGAGAGACATACACACACACACACAGACAGAACTATAAATATAATAACTACACCGATAGACATACACGTGTCCCTACACTGTGCATCCCGCGGTGCACAGGGATCTGCTCCCTGCATGGATCAAATGGGGCTGATGGATTACGAGCCTGTGCTGGGGCCAGCGCTGGCCACGGGGCACCAGCCACCCCCAGGGCAGCCAGGGACCCCCAGCCCTGGGCACTGCTGCTCCTGCCCTGCTGTGCTGTGCCCACCCCTGCCCGGGGACGCTCGCCCGGCTCCGGCTGCTGCACCTCTGTGCTGGGTGAAAATGGTACCGAGACACGCCAAGCTTTTATTTTTAAAAACAGATGAACAGACACAAGTATGTAATTAGTTAACTCATTCACATATATACACAAACACGTGTTTGTGCTTATATGCACATATATGCATGAGTGTATATATAATGTGTGTATAGGTATATATATTTGTATTGGTGTAGGGGGATATATATGTAAAGAGTGTGTGTGTGTGCACGTGTGCGTCTGCCTGTGTGTGTGTGCACATGTGTCTATAGCTGTCTATACACCTCTCTATGAAGAAGCTCAGTTTGGGCTGTATTTGTGCGTCTTTGGGCCGCACGGCTGCGCAGTACCTGCCCGTGTCACGTTCACATGCTGATGTAGCCTGAAGTGGCCGGTGTAAGATGGGCAGGAACCATCAGCAGGTTTTTAATTTCGCCATGCCACGGCGCGGTGATGCCGAAGTGCGCGGTGGGCGCTAACACCATCCGGGTGTCCCACGGGACATGGCAGCCCCCAGGGAGGGGATTGCCTTCAGCGCCGGTGAGCGGAGCGGCTGCTCGCTGCCCGAGTATTGGCTACTGACGATACCCGCACAATCGATCCAAACGAGAGCAGGAAAATACACATGTAAGGGCACAGCTGGAACAGCTGTGGGGCGGGCGGCACCTCAGCTCCCTCCCAGCCACAGAGGTGTCGCTGCCCCTTTGCCCCGGGGAGGGCGGTCACAGCATCTGAGACGGCAAAATCCGTGCTGAGACAGCCACGTCTGGAACACCCGTCTGCTGCTGCTACTGCCTCCCGCCTTCAGGGATGCAATGTTCACGGAGACTTCAGAAAGGCCGGAGGGTTTTTTGTGGGTGGTTTTTTTTTTAATCCTCCCTTGACAAATCTCCCCCCACCCTCCACCGCTTACAGTCCCTGTGCCACCTCACAGCTGGTGCGGTAGAGCAAGGTCCCTGCTGACAGTGGGGTACACCAAGGCCATGCAGTTACAGGGGGGTTTTATTGGTTTGGGGTTGGGTTTTTTCAGCAGGCAGAGATTGGAGAGTGGAGACCAGAGCCAAGCAGCATCCGATGCTCTGGTTTAAAACCATCTCCTGCGCCTCGAGCCCTCGTTGGGCCCCAGCTCTTCCTCTGCTGTCTCTGAGTGCTCCATTGAAGACGTGCTGCAACGTGCCGAGCTCCTGCATCCCCGTGACAGCAGTACCGACCTGGGGAGACTCAAAAGCTGCACCACCAGCATCCACCTTTTTTTTTTTTCCCCCTTTTTATTTCAGGTTCTCGTTATAAATATTAACAAATCTGACAAAAAGTACACAGATAGATAATACTGAAATACAAAAGTCTTTTAGGATGCAGGTAAGGACAGGTTCTGCAGCCTTCACATGGTAGCAAAACATCGGTATCAAACATTTCACGAGGCCTGGCATGACAACCACCACTCTGCATGCAGCTGGGACGGACAGACGGACCGTCCGCTTAGAAAAGACTGGGATACAAACTGAAGGAACCCACACACACGCGCGCACACACACGCACATCCACACACACATGTATCGTGTCCTACTTCACCTCAGGCATAAACCAGTTTCATGGCAAGACGTGCTGAAACAAATGATGGATTGAAAGAAACTTTGCAAGAAAAGGGAGGCACAGCCGACCCAGCACTCCCACAGCTCTCCTGGAAGCTCAGACCCAAACCAGGTTTAAGGTGTTGGACCAGTGACAGACAGAGAGGATTACTGGGAACATCCTACTTGACACGCCGGCCGGCATTCAACTAAAATCCATGCATATCTGGAGAATGCATTACAAATACTAAGTTATTAAAAAAGCCCCTATGAACGTTGGGTCGTTTGGGTTTTTTTCCCTCTCCCATATCAAACAAGGTGTAACACGATCGTCACTTTGAAAAGTAAATGTAGGTTTCCAGAGAGCCGATTGCTTTCAAATAAAAAGAAGTCGGCAACACACGCGCGCGCACACACACAGAGAGCACAGAAGCTGAGACCGATGGGGAAACAGCAGCTCTTCCTAAGAAATCATGGTTTAAAGGCTTCAAAAATTTCTGGCAGCATTTCGCAGAAAGTTTTAGCTCATCTCACTGGGCGCCGGCTCTTGCGCAAACATGATGCTGTGCTTGTGCAAGAGCCGGCGCCCAGTGGGATGAGAATACAGAGACCAACCAGGGTGGGTCACGGAGGATGAGAGCTGGGATTATTATTATAATATAATAATATTATTACTGTGCCGTACACAGAAATTTGGTTCGGATGCTGTTTGAGGCAGAAAATGGACCAACCTGACGGCTGCGCTGGAGCTGAGCATCTCTGCCGGCTCAGCTCGCTGCACATCACCAGCTCACAGCATAAAGCACCTTGGTTGGGTTTTAGGTAACAGCATGAATTGGAAAAGGAGGAATTGGGGAAAAGCGATAGAAAAATTTAGCCTGAAAGCCAGCTTTGCTGGAAAAATAGCCGTGCTGAAGCCAGGCTGGGTGGCTCCAGGCAGGACGGCATGGTTTCAATAGGAGAGCGGGTGCTGCGAGGGCAGCGTGAGGCTTCGCTGCCGGTCCCGGGAAGCAGGAACGGCTAGCGGCTTCGCTGAGCCTTTGTATTTTGCCCCCTCACTTCTGCAAATGTGAAGGCGCCCGATCCTGGGGACCGCGCGAGAGAAGCCGTGGTCTGCACAGCGCTTCCAGCTTGCTGGCTAACTTCACACGGGTGATCAGAGAGGACGAGAACAATGTTTCTGGAAGAAAAGCAAACAGTCTTCCGAGGGGACACAATCATTCCGACAGAGGAGCTTTAAATGCATAAAAGACTGTTTAGGCCCAAACCACAGAGACTGACAAACCACCAGAAATATGGCACAATTGCCTTGAGAAAATAGTCCCAGGTTTTAGTGACGCCTTTTGCTCATATTAGATACACGAACGGAGACTGATGCATTCATTTTTGCCACTGAATTGCAAGGCAGCGAGAAGGTAATTCAGTACAGCAAAGAATTAGGAGAGGAGTCAGAACCGCAGTGCATGCAGGCGTGTGGTGTCCGCGTGCGTGTGCGCACACGTGTGTGTGTGTGTGTGTGCATGCTCGTGAGTGTGTGTGTGAGCGTGTCAGGATGCAAAGAGGCATTTTGGAAAAGCCTTAGGGGACGGGACCTGCTGAGCAGAGCAAACTGCCGCTGCCGCCTTCCCTGGGAAGGGTTTCCCTGCAGCCGGGCCGTGGCGCGGGGTGTCCCGCTCTCCCGGCTGCCCCGGTACCACGATCCCCCCTATCCAAAGCCGTAAACGAGAGAAGTCCAAAGGCTGTGACAGGCAGAGCTGTGCCCGGGGAGCGGTTCCATGGCGCTCAGTCGCTGAGGACGGCTCCCGGCAGCTCGTTCGTTAGTGTGTGCCAGCGCTCAATTTTCTTGTCCTTGTTTTTCAGGCAGTCAAACCAGTGCTTCAGCCGCTCGCCTTTGGCGTTGATTCCTAACACGACTCCACCTTGAGAGACAGACAGGGAGAGGGAAAGGTGGGGGTGAGCATCAGCCCTGCGAGGGATGCTGGGGGATGCCGGGGGATGCCAGGGGACAGCAGACAAAGCCAGGTCATGCAGCTGCTCTCACGGCATCCGATGCCACGACCTGATGTGACACACAGGCAATCACAGCCCGTCTTCCCCGTCCCGTCCCAGCTGCGGTCTGGGACCTGCCCCGGGCAGCTTGTTCTTGTGCCAAGGGCTGGATGCTCATTGCAGTTGCAGCAGCTGTCAGAGATACTGGGCACTTGTTAGCAATAAATCACAGTGACCAGTAACAAAATCACAAAATCCAGCAGAGACAAATGAAACCTCCCCATTAAACCTGTTTTTTATTCAGAAGAAAAGATCTGAAAACAGAAGGGGAGAAGGAGACCTGTCTCCTCCCTGCTCGGGTGCTCCTTGCATGGGGGATGTCTGAAGCGAGGAGCAGTGGGGCTGGCTGCGGGAGAGGAGGCTCAGGGGCAGGAGAGGGATAAAAGCAGAACAGAAATCCAGCGAGAATGAACGTGGGGATGGAGAACAGACCTGGAGGCTGCAGAAGTGCAGAAGAGCAGCAGATGAAAAACGAAGAGGCACAGAAGGTGAAGATTAAAAAAAAAAACCTGGAGTGCCCCACTCACCTATGAAATCGTTTGATTTCCCAATATCGTAGTCCCACACTGTGACTTCCAAGGTCTTTTTCGCCAGGTCCCCGTGCTTGATCTCATAGCAAAACTCCTGTTGGGGAGCAGAGACAGAGTCAGGACCAACCTGTGCAGGGTTCGGTGCAGGACCCCCGGGAGGGGGCTGGGGCTGTCCGTCCTCCTCCTTGGGCTGTTGCCCTTTGCCACTCACGGGGAACTCAACCTCGATCCCTCACGTAATGACTGACATTGGGGTGTTTTTTTTCCCTTTTAAGTCTGAGGACTGAGAAAAGCCCCCAGGAGAGAACCCCAACCAGTGAAAACCCACCTCATTGAACTCGGGGTTCAGCGTCTTCTTCTTCACCGCCGTCTTATGCTTTGATTTCTTGTCCTCATCTGGTTTCAAGTAACTGCAACGAAACCAATGCAGCCCAGTCCCACACAGGTCCCGTGCCCCCTCGCAGCGAGGAAGGCAGGGAGGGCCGCCCGTGTCCCCCCCTACAGCCCAGGTACGGGTGGGGGCAGCTATGGGACCAGCTCCTGAGCGGAGGCAGGGTGAGATGGGTGGCTGAGCCCCCTCCTGCCCTCCCCTACCAAAATGTTGGAGGTGGCTGGAAGGAAGCAGCGTTCCCCCACCTTAGCACAAGAGGAGTCGCTGGCTGCCATCGGAGAGCACCGATTATCCCATCTCCAGTCCCTAGGGGACACTGGCACCGCACACATGCTCCCGAAATCAAACGCTATCAGCACAGAACCAGTCCAGAGTTGGGACCGTGCGAGAGGTCTGCTCACCCCGAGCCTTGCCGGGAGACAGAAACCACGCCGGGTGTGTAAGGGTGGTAAGTGTGTAACAGCTTTGTGCACCGCTGTTTCGTCCAGATATTTTGTGGTGCGGCAGCAGGGCCAGAAAGCAAATGAGATTAATGTGTCATCAAGCAGAGAGAGCACCTAAAAGCTGGGCCAGGCCAAAATCAGTCCTTCATCATTTCGTGTTGGTGCTGCTCCTTTAAACATCAGTTCTGCTTCCTCATTACACTTTCCAGATCTTGCTCATAATTAAAAAATTAGGGCTTGTACCGAGAAGCATCACTTGTCTATCTGCTCTGATTCAAGCCCTGCAGATACAATCTACTGCAGATAGCACAAGGGGCATCTACAAAACGACTGTGTACAACAACAATTATGTTACTTCAGGGACTGAGCCTCCGATGAGCATTTAAAAAAGCAAGAGTAGATTTTTTATGCAAACACCTCCACTCCTGAAGAACAATTAAATAGGAAGGCGAAACCACGCTGACAATAAACTCCATGACTGGCCTCCCAGGTGCGGCTTATCCCGGTAGCTCTGCCTTAACAAATATCAGCCCTGAAAGTGCCGAAGTTTGGGTGAGCGCAGCGGGGACAGGGACGTGGGATGGGTGCAGGGAGGGCTGCCAGTCCCTGCTCACCATATCCCCCTGCTTCGCACAGAGCAAGTTTGAAAAATGCCATCCACCCAAAAGCCAGGAGCTGTGGCGATGTAGGGCCCCGCGCCAGCCCGGCTCTGCGTCAGCAAGCCATCGCCTTCCTCAGCATCCCTTAATAGCCCCTGGATGACACCGACCTCCCTGAATCACTTGGGTAAGGCCAAGTCGCAGCCGCCTATTACAGTCATTTTAATAGCTTCTCTATTTTTTTTTTTAATACTGCTGCTATTTTTCAAAAGGAAGGTACTCCCAGTCATTTACATAGGAAAGTGTCAGCGGGACCTGTAAATGCGCCCTCGGCTCTGTTAACCAGGCCCTGGAGCCACCGAAGCCACGGGCTGAGATTAAAGTGCTGTCTGACCTAATTATGCTCATGTTGTAATTAGAGCTTTTCCAAAGCGCAGGGTTGTGGCCCCGCTGCTGGGCTGGGAGTCTCTTCTCCCTTGGGGACCCGGGGACGGGGGGGATTAATTGCCCATCCCTGGGTGAGGGCGATGTCTGTGTCCCAGTGCCACAGTCCAGGAGGGCCAGACCTGCCCCAGCAGCTGTCCCCATCCCAGCAGGGACAGGGCGGGCTTTGAAGCGTGAAAAGGTCGGGGGTATGACCGGGAAAGAAAGCAAAGGCGCCTGCAGGTGCTGAGTGGGGACCAGGACCACTGGGCACCGGCATCACCCTGCCTGGGGGATACCCATCCCTGTGCCGCTGGATGGGACTCATCACCCACAGGGCTGGGGCCATGCCATCAGCAAAATCTGACCGTACCTGTCTGCTTTGGGCCACCAATTCTGTCCCCAGGGCTGAGTCACTGCCGCAAGATCCTCTCCCAAGCAAGTGCATGTCTCGCCGGTCAGTA